CATGATGAAAGAATTCTGAACTTTACTGGTATAGTTGATGAGACCACAGGTTGTCACCAAGTCTTCGATCTCCTCTCGAGTAAAATAGCTGTAGGTTCGTCCAGCACTCTGCGATCAAAAGGAAAGTTATGTTCATATCTCTGACAGAAATGACAACGATCACATAGTTCTACTTTTATAATCACGTAGAGCCAGCTCTGACAAAGCAATGTGAAGCATGAGACGGAGCCTCATTCCACTATCCTCTTGAACAATATTTTTCCGGCTTGTCATGTTGACAGTTAGACTGGCTTGAATTCAGAGGCAAACTCAGGATTTGAAGGTAGTGGGAGCACATGAGTCGATTGCTCAACCAGCGCGCCTATCAGACTTTTGATCTTAAGGGTTCCAAGCAAAATATATGATCATTTTTAACATACATACACATATATATATCTAGAACTTTTGCCGAGGTTAACGGGGTCCACTGACCCCTCTACTCAAAACATAGGTCCACCTTTGGGCTTGATGATCGTATTGGCATTTTTTGGTTAGTTTCGAGCAACTTCTAATATAGGTAAGTATTCTAGTGGGAACAAAGCCGAACAATTTTTTGTTGTCTTTATGTGTTGGCAACTAATTGAACTCTTTAACCAATATAAAGTGAGATGGTAATTCTTTAAGTATAAATCATAGCAAGCAAAATGAGACCAATTACCAGGTCTTGAATATTCTGTTTGCAGGTTAAGCCCAACCATACCCTCCCAAATCAAATTTAAACAAAGAGGTCGGGGTGTTCATTTTTGAGTTGATTTAACTTGAGATATTTACTTGGGCAAAAATTGTAAATTACTAGGGTTCAAACTTCAAATGACAACTATCAGGTAGTTTTATTTTTTTTTGGGCATAGTGTAAGCCATTGTAAAAGCTGATAACCAATTACTATCACGCGAAGTATAAAAGGGAGAAAAATAAAGAGTATAAGTTGAATAATCACAAAACGAAATTCACCTGCTCCAAAGCCCTGAATATCGTCGGAGCTGAAGGATTAACTCGAAGAAATGTAGTACCAACAAACACACCCCCACTACGCAAAATCCGGTTGATTTCAGCAATCTGGCAGAGAAATAACAGCATAATCAACTGTAAACTCAACTTCATTCATTGAATAAATCATAAAACTTCAGTGAGCAACAAAGAATTCAACCAAAACTATGCGACAACAAGACAAATTATAAGTTTACGAATTAGTGTAGAACTAATAACTATCAAATACCAATGTTAGAACCAAAAGCAGCATGCAATCAAAACGTCCACCACCAGGTGCTCAAGTTTCCTGCAACTAACTCTGTCACCAAATATTTATCCACTTCAATTTTCTGCCCTTAAAATGAGCTCACATTTCTAGCGAAACTTTCCGTTATCAGATTCTTAGGGTTCGGGGTTGGTATTCTAAAATAGTACTCCCTTTGTCCCAATTTAGGTGATACTCTTTCTTTTTTACTCTATACCAAAAAGTGAGACCTAAATTAATGTTAGTGTGGGGATAAGTGAGAGACATAAATTAATAGTATACAGATAAGTGCTTGATTCAGATAACCTCTAGTCTTAAAAACACCTAATTGACCTTAAAAGACAAATTATTAACCACTCACAAGGTAGGGGTAAGGTCTGTGTACACACTACCCTTCCCAGACTCCACGGTGTGGGATAATACTGGGTATGTTGTTGTTGTTGTATTGGAATGGAATGGAATGGCAGGATAGAGCAGAATAGATATAAAGGATTCGTCTAGCTGACCCTGACTAGTTTAGGATTGAGAAGTAGTTCATTATTAAGTCGAGAAGTACAGGTTAATTTTGCCCAAGAAAAACTAAAATTTAAACAACTTACTGCATTGGATGGAGATGGCCAGCAATGCAAAGCAGCACCTGCATGTACAGCATCAATTGATCCGGAGAAGAACGGTAATCTGGAAACATCTGCTCTTACAAGAGCCAGATTGCTGCAAATTTTAATAGAAGAAGAAATTCAATAATATCTTTCTTGTCATAAGAGACAATTCCCAACTAATGAGACTTGCAATAACTTGATATCCTATATTGGGTAGAATATCACTTACGAGCTTAAGATACTCTCATCATTCTTTATGAAATCATAACACTGGCGAAGCATGTTTTCAGAAAAGTCGAGTGCGATGACTCTTGAATAGGTCCCAGATTTGGCAAATTTCCTGGAAAATAACCCACTCCCGCAGCTAACGTCTACAAGAACACCACCTTCAGCAACTTTAAAATATTCCTGAGCCATCTTAAACTGCATTTAATATCAAAAGGCCAATCCCACAGTAATGAGCCATCAGTGGACTATACCTATCCATGAAACTTTGAATACAGATTTGACTCTTTTCCTTAATGTTATGGGTATATAGTCAAGGGGCTATTCTGCGTAATGAAATCATGGGGTGTTCCATATTTTGAATCCATGAATAAATTCTTATATTATCATATATTGCACATATTAGGTCGTCATAATAAGAAGTTTTCAATTTGCTATAAAACCAATGACAAAAACGATACAAAGATAATGTCTATCCTTTCAACTTATTCTGTATTTGACAAAACATGTTAGCATATCATATTGCTTACTAGCATTAAGGATTGATCCACTTATAGTCACACAAATGTTATGTCATATTCCTTTTTTCCTCCCTTTTTCAAAAGTTTCAAAAGTCTTCCTTTTATTTCCTTTAGACTCCATGTCCGGTCAAACTACACAACATACAAATGGAAATGGAGATATTAGTAAGTTAAACATTCACAAATAACTAAATAAAAATGATAATATTTAAACATAGATAGAAGATATTACAGTAATAGGTTGGGTAAAGCCACGCAAACTAATTTTGTGTTACAAAAAGAGTTTCGACAATATAAAGATGGATACAGCTTCTATACTTAGTTAGAATATGACCATATCTTGTGATGCTACGGTGATATTTGAAACATTGAGTAAATCACACTCCATCACTAAAAAGTAATGATAGTTTCTTTGATGTTTCTTCCATTACTTAACAACATCAATTTCAAGAAACTTCTCATAATTAAGCTTTAGTTCATCCAGATTTAAAAATCTGGATTTCTAGCATTACAAGCACATTCACTCTCAAACATTTTAAATTTCTAGGTTACAATAGGTTGTAATCTAATAAGAAAAAATAGAAAATACAATTTCTTAATTAAAAAGTACGAATGAGGAGTACTTTTTTATCAAGAACAAAGTAAAAATACTTAAATCGAATACTTTGGATTTCTTTCGTTTAGATTGACTTCTTTCTTCACTTGATGTATATAGAATAGTAAAAGGCTAAAAGTAGTTGCTCCATTTTGACTATTTACATAATGATCATAGAGCTTGTACAATTTATTCCTCATTATTCTTTCTTCTCTTATGCAGAAATAGGATCCCCTTAGAGTAACAAAACCTTGGAGCAACGGTAAAGTTTTCGCCATGTGACCTATAGGTCACGCGTTCGAGCCATGGAATGGAATGCCACTGATGATTGCATCAGGGTATACTGCCTACATCACATCCCTTTGGGGTGCGGCCCTTCCCCGTACCCTACGTGAATGCGGGATGCTTCGTGCACCGGACTACTCTTAGAGTAACAAAACCTAAAACATCGCAATTTGAAGCGAGGATCACAGATTGCTCCAAATGCATGTACTACACTATACATACTATAGTTATTTATCAAACTTCACAGACATTCTTGAAGTCATTCCCTTAATAACTGCATCTTCATTATGCAATTTCTCCTTCAACATGCATTCAATTCTCCAAACTCGCACCAAAACAAAACTGGAACCGAAAATTTAAACGAGAAATCAAGTTAGTTATATCATGAAAATGCTCCAAGAATTCACATATATTCTCTACTTTTCTCCATCGACCAGATGTTGGGCAATAAACATAATTTCTATCAATCAATTGTATACTAGCAAAAGTCTTTCATACTAAAATGCAATCTCAGGCATCAAGTATGTTGAGTTCCATCTAGTTGACATATACAACCCTAAACCAAGATTTGTTTCAATTCCAACTTGCTTAACACATAGCTCAGATTTTCTATTCTATCATCGCATCCTTTGACATACTTATAACTTTCTTTAATTCTAAATAGGGCATCATTAGTTGCTTTTACACCTATTGAACAATAAACTTTAGAATATGAGAGCAATAAACAATGAAAGAACTCACCATCAAATAACTAGCTCTTTTGCAAACTAAGATGCCCTTTTGAAATATTTTGCATGTTATCAATTATTAATGGAATTATCCAAAGTGATCGATATATACCCAACTCTTCCAAACGATCATATATAGCTTCAGCCAATTTCACTGTAGTATGAGGAGGAATCAAATGACAAAAATTCAGAATTTTATCGTCAACATAATAGGCCGTTAAACAAAGATACCCTTCAGAATTACTTTGTTGTCCAGCAATGAGTTGTCAAACAAACTCTAATAGAAATCGTAGCTAAGGCTTATTTAACTGTTTCCTTCTCACTAAAATACACTTCTTGACACTTCTTGACAACCCGCAATTGGCTTATTTAAATCTTAGCTAAGGCTTATTTAAGTGTTCCTAGGAGGCATTATTAAATTCGAACTTATATAATTTGTCCAAACTCGACTTCCATCATATTCAACAAAAGAATATGGCAAACCTTACATGATGATGTTGTTCACAGGAAGCCAATTGGCATATTTTCTTGATTGTATTTTACCTTGCTGGATCAATAAATGTTTGACCCAAATCATGATATGAAATCTTTTTATGTTAGGTATATGATGATGTATATGTGATGCGTCATAGTTTGTACTTGTCGGTCATGGAGTTGAACCAGCCTTATATTCTTTATGACACCATTTACATATCGCTCTATCAACTCTATCTTCACCTAGGCCAATCTTTTCGAAATAACCAAACATACAATTTTACCTACTTGGGTTCTTCTGTTCAAATTCTGCATGTTTGTGTTCACCTCTAAACTAAGTACATGTTTAATATTTTCATGATTAAATAAAGGACTGAGTTGGGGCATTCACGGGCCAAATCCATTTTGACGGCTCTACCCATAAATGAAACTTAGAAATTAGGATTTATGCCCCTAAACCAGCAACAGATTTGGTCCATCTAAGTTGTTCACCTATTTTCTAGTTTAACTATGCTTCAATCCAAGGCAAGTTGGGATCGACTATATGAACCCCCACTAACCATATTTTTACATTTAAGTTCATCACAAGTAGAGTCGTCAAAATGGGCTTGGCTCGTGAAGCGGCCCAACCAATACCTTTATTTAACTAGGGTTGGGTTAAGGTTTCATAGTCCCCTTTAGATGTGAGGCTATTAAGCCCAAGCGCTGAACTGATCCCGTCACGTGAGGCCGGAGGAAAAAAAACCCAAATCAATTAAATAAAAAGCCCAAAAGTGAATTAAACAGAAAAGGAAGAAACGAGGGTATTAATGATTTAGTCTTATAGAAATCATATTCGTAATTTGTTTTCTTCTTGCGCGGCTGGTAACTGCAGCTCCTTGCCCCTGTTCTCCATTTCTCCTCGAGACTTGGTAGTCAGACGACCTCTTCGTCGGTTGTTGATGCTCCTTTAACCACTAAGATAATAGTTCACTTATTAAATCTTGTTGGATTTAGAACTCTTTTGTTAGTTCTCCTCCTCCATTTCAAATAGTTGACTTTGGGATGTCAGATTTATTTGTATTCATACCAGTAAATGTGAATGTGATGTCGATTCTGTTTAATTAGTAGATTATTTTAGTTAAATGGGATATGAGCAATTTTATTTTTTTTAAACTTTGTTTCCGTCTATGTTTGAACATGAATTTTACAGTTTTCTTGTTTATTTCATCACAGGAAGATCAATGGATTGGATGATCATGCAAATAGTAAACATAAACCTAGTCTGGGGATGAATCAGCCTGGAGAATCTGAACAGAAAAAACAGAAGCAGTTAACATCGAGTGATTGGGTTTATTCACAAAGATTTGTAATGGTAAAGATGGAGTTGAAAGGGCAAAATATGTAACGGTTGTCATGAAGAATATAAGGTTGGTTCAACTACGGAGCACAGACCCACAGATAATAACTACGGGGCATCACATTCACATCGCCATATTCCTAAATGTAAACAAATTTCATATCATGATTTGGTTTAAATGTTTATATATCAACAAGATAAATTGCAGAGTCTAGAAAAACAGACCAATTGCCTTCCGGTGAAAAGCTTGCTGAAGTTATCTTTAAGCATAATTATTCATTCTTTTGTTGAGCAAGTTGGAATTGATACAAAATATTGGTATAATGTTGGATGTGTCAACTAGATGGAACTCAACATACCTGATACTTAATAGTGCACTTCTGAAAAAGCTTTTGCTAGTCTACATTTGATTGATAGAATTTATGCTTAATTTCCAACATCCAATGTCAATGTCAATGGAATAAGTCAGAGAAAATATGTGAATTCTTAGGGCCTTTTTATGAGACAACTAACTTGATTTCTGGTTTGAGTTATCCAACCTCTAATTTCTTTTTTATGCAAGTTAGGAGAATTAAATGCATGCCAAAGGAGAAGTCGAATAATAAAGATGTAGCTATTAAGGGAATGGCTTCAAGAATGTCGAAGAGGTTTGATAAATACTAAAGTATGTATACTTTGATTCTCCAAGGTTTTCTTACTCCAAGATGGATCCTACTTCTGCATAAGAGCAAAAAGAATAATGAAGAATAACATGTACAGGCTATATGATTATTATGTAAACAATCAAAATGAAATAACTGCATCTACTATTTTGTGTACGTCAAGTGAAGAAAGAAATCACATCTAAACGACAGGGATCAGAATTATACGATGCAAGTAATTTCACTTTGCTCTAGATAAATAAATTAATGTTAAATTTGTGTAGATTGGTACTTTTTAATTAAGCAATAATATTTCTTATTTCTTTTTATTATCTGCATTTAACTTAATAGGAATTTAAAATGTTTGAGAAATTTGCTCTAAGCGCTAGAAAGCCCGACTTGGACCTTCATTTGGCCGAACAAAGATTAACTATAAGAAGCTTCTAGATATGAATATTGTTAAGTATTGAAAGGAACATGAAAGAAAATATTCTAACCTTTCAGTGATGGCGTGTGAAATATTCAATGTTCCAATTACCACCGTAGCACTAGAATCGACATTTAGACTGGTGGTCGAGTTCTCACTATGTATAGAAGTTGTATCCATCATGAAAA